GTGCCTCTTCGATGCATCTATAGAGAGATCTCTGTGGACATTTTTCAGCTTAAAATCTAATTCGCATTTACAGGATAATCCCCATCTCGCTTCCATATTCTATAGACGCATTTTATTTTTATTTTTCCTGCAGAACTATTCATTGGTATTCGCGTCGGGGTTTTTTGTGCATTCCGCCTACCCTTTTGGCCAATGCAAATTGGGAATTATTTGTTCTTGTGCTCGGCTCGAAAATATTTCCGCTCTTTGAATTTCAATGCGTGCAACAACAGCCACACAGCCGCACACACACATTTCCACACAAACAGGTAGGTGTGTACGTACACTGCCTGCTGTTTTTTCCATTTTGGTTTTGTCGTTTCCCTGCTGCTAAAAAGGATGCAGGATTTTTCTATGGCCCAGTGCAGTTACCTACGTGACACAATTAAACAAATAAATATAAAATAAAACTTCACTACTCTTTGCTGTAAGGATAGATGCAACTATGATTATATTGGACTTGATTTTGGCAGCACTGAAAAGGGAAGCACTCTACCAAGCATATGCTGGATTATATGTTTGTAGACATAAAAGCTTTCAAAATCTGCCATAATCTTTGCATAAGCAAGTGGAACTGCAAGGGTATCTAATGTTTCTGCTACCGCTTCTTGACAAATTTCTCTCTTGTTTTATACGGAAAGCGAAATTTAATAAAAAAAAAAACAAAAGAAAATAAAAGCTCCTATGACGACAGGTTGCATGACTGACCAGAAAAATCCTTTGATTAAAGTTGTTGTTGGTTGCAAAAAAGTGGTTTACCCCCTTTTGAAAACAGCTCTCGGAGTAGCATAAACATATAAGTAAATATTAAAAATCAAAAACTTTTAATTAAAAGTCAGCATAAAATAAAAATGTTTTTGTGTGTATTATATTCATCGGGCAGAAGCGGCCGGAAGCGGCAGTAGTCATTTATATTTTGTCAAAAAATCCAGCAATTTACCATATAATTATCACAAAAGATCCCCTGAGATGAGTCAAAGAGCTTTTGTATATTTTAATAATAATTATGCAAGTTAATTTAATAATGTTAAGCAACAAAAGCTAAATCCTATTGAATTATTAGTCACAAATCGGTAGCTGGTAAGCGGAATTTCCTGCTCTCGAATCGTTTCGAATCGTTTCAGTTAGCAGATTCTGCGGCTCATTAACGCATTTGCGCACACAAGTGCTAGTGTCAAGTGGCATTTGTCAATTGGGATAAACAGATATTCGTTATTTGTACACCTCTGCTCTGACTGACTGACAAATTACTTGTGTCTTAAAATAATGGTAATTTATTCCAGCAACAAACAACAGTCAGCATTGTCAACGGAAATATATTTTATTGCAATTGATAATCACGTTAATGTGCTACTCAATTTATTTAAGCTTTCCCCTGTCGCTGTTGCAACAGTGAATCAGCAGCATTTTGTGTTAATTAATAACAGCGCATTTAATCTGTTTCAAGTCTCGGATCTGCCACTCTTTTCCTGTCTCTGAGTGGGGCATATGAAGTTGACATTTATACGATCAGATCTCCGTATCTCTCCCTCACTCTCGTTTTATCTCTCTGGCGCACCAAGAACTGTCATATAAGCCCTATTTAAGAAACATACTTTTATTGGCTCTCGGACTCACTGCATTGTGTTTTTGAGTGCCACCCATAAAACCGATCGAATTGGAAGTTCTGGTGGACGGTCGGGCGGTGCCCGGCCGGGCCTCTCCTCCTACCAGGAAGCCATAAAACAATCAACGAAAATTCTCTCGAATGCCCCCACTCCATCAGCGGCATCAACTGCATTAATTGCATTCCCAAAGTGGAGGAGGACGAGGGATGTTACTGAGGAACTGCCTTTCATTCTGACAGTTTTGTAGGAATCCGACAATGGATCCATTATATATGAGTAATGCGAAGAATGTTTATGAATAATTTTAATACAGTTTATGGGTTTCCTTTTGGGGAAATAGGAATGGAATGGATCGGCCACTCCCCTCAGAGGTGTGTGACACAGTTGACAAGTTCGATATAATTATTTTGTACATTAAAAAAACTTGTTGGTAATGCTTTCGAATTGATTTCCCTATAGATCTCAAAGAATGTAAAAATATAAACACTTAAAAATACATTTCCCTCTTTCACCAAGATTACATTCCACATAATCTATAAGCATTGATAAGGATGGAAATATACTGAGGAACAAATATAAGCTTAAATACAACATTTAAAGATTCAAAACAACAGAAACAAGTATTAAAAAATAAATACTTTCTTTTCCAATGAAAAGACAAAAGAATTTCATCAGGAATCATTAAAAATTCTCTAGCTGAAGAATAGAATCCACCTGTTCCCACGATTCAAAATTCATTCTTGCTCTCTTTGTATGACCAATCCCCTCTTCTATATATAGGAAATGCATATGTATGTATGTACATATATGTGTGTGTGAATGTACAGCAATCACCAATTATTTGAGTACACAAAAGTTGGACAGTCCACAAAAGTCTGTTGATGACAAGACGACTTCCTTCTGGAGTTCCTGCTCCATTTCCATGAGTTTCGCCAATTAGAATTTTGCGAAAACTTAAAAGTAAATTTGCAACAGTTTGTTAGGGCTCTCCTCTGTGCCTCTGCCCCTTTCCACTTTCTGATGCACCAATCTGTGTCTCCAGAGTCGCAGTGTCTCAGTGTCAGTGGGAGCAAGAATATGTTGTACATATGTACATACTGAAGTGCGTGTGGATATGCAAATGTGTATTTTGTGGTCTGCTCGTGTGGGCAGAGAGAGAGAGAGAGAGAGAGAGGGAGAGAGATAAAGTTAACTTCACTTTCTAGTACAGTATTTTCCGGACAACTTCCGCTGGGGCATGCAGTGAATGCCGTGACCCTGCTGCACTCCGCAACGTCTTACTCCCCCTCATCCACTAGTCCCCTAGTCGTTTTGCCACCCGTTTTCATCATTTCATTTGATTACACGCCACTCATAAGCGCGACAGCGACTGCCAGTGCGTGAGTGTACGCGAACAATTCCTTCTCAGTGTGTGTTTGTCTGTATGAGTGCGTTTATTGAACCGGGAGGGAGGCTATGGCGCATACGACAGCGCCTAGCTGGCGACACATAGCCGCCGCCAGACGACGACGACGACGACAGCAGCAGCAGCATCGTGGCAGCGGCTTTAGCTCTGTTCTCAGTTCTTTCTTAGTTCCGACGTTTCACTCTCTGTTTTCGCTCTCTCTCTACTTACTGCTACTCCCTACAATGCTTCATATGTACATACATATGTAGCTGTACGTATGTATGTATATTATATGCTGCACATGTACATATGTGTACCCCACTTTATAAGGCACATATGTTTGCACACCCACCATTCAAGCGGCGGATGGGACATCCACCCATTGCCTTCGATATCCTTACTAAATAAACAATATGCGGGCACCAGACGGAGGTCGACCGACCGCCGTCTTCAGTTCGCACTCTCCTTGTACCATTTCTCCGGTTTTCTCTGCCCCTCTCCTTATTTTTATTCTTTCATATTTTGTTGAGGAAGAGACCCTTCCTTCCGACCTTCTTCTCTTCCTTCCAATTACCATTTTCGCACTTTAATAAATGCCAACTTTCGAGCCGACTGCCTCGCATACGAAAACAGTAGTGCCATCCTGTCCGCCCAGGCCTCTGTCTGGTGCCCCAGCTGACTCATCGACGAGGGGTTCAACGTCCTGGCGCGCCTTTAAGAACATGCCACGACGATTCCTTGGCACACACAAGAGCGAAAGAAAGGAACGAAAATCCAAGAATAAATTGCTCATATTTTGTTATTTTGATTAAAAAGGCGCCCGCGCTCATTAACTCTATCCACACACAAGACCCGACCACAAGCAAATGTCCTATCGTGGAGCCACATACTCGTGCACACAACTGCATCGAGTGCCAGTGAGGATGCAGGCCCCGCCGAAACAATAAGCGTGCATTGTGCATGGGGGCTCCACACACTCGCCACCCAGACTGAAGAACGGACGGAACGGGGATGGGCTAGGGGGTCTGGCCCTCATTTCTTGTACCAACTGAATGCACACACAGTGCGTTTCAGTGGTATAGTCCCACTGTTCTTCCACTTCAAATGATTTGGATTCGCTGTGCTGAAGTTAACTGAACTGACTCGAACAAATATAAATTGGTAACATTACAACATTATGTGTCGTCTTACAATTCTGACACGCACTGTACGTGGCATGTATAGACCATTTTGGGATTTTGGGGTCAGGCCTATGATAGGCCGCTGCAGCAGAAGCAGTCTCGGTGGGGGCACGGCGTCCGCTGCCTTTGCATTCGCCTTATCTTGATGGTGTGCCCCTGCACCCTGCCACGACGCTCTGCCTGGAATATGCATATATTCCGTATACGGACATGAGGGAGAGAGCGGAATGAATGAATGTCTGCCACAGCAACTGCCACTGCCACTGGATGTGCCACTGCAACTGCAACTGAAACTGCAGCAGAAACGAGCATTTTCCTGCTTGCTGCATGTTGATTATATTTTCAGCTGTTGTGTGGACTGACCTCAGGCTGCACGCATTTTTCTCTGCCTCTCTTTTTCTCTATTTACAATCTACATATATTACTCTCTCTCTCTCTCTCTCTCTCTCTTTTGTTGGGAGTATAATTTTGGTTTCTTTTCAATGCAGATCCATAATGGTTAATTATTTATGTGACTGCACTGCGGCGATTGCAGCAGTTGATTTTTCTTAACTTTTCCATATTCTGAATAAATATTAAATGTTTTGCGCTGATTGCGAATTGTGTCAAATGTTTTTTCACAATTCAATCACCAACTGATTGCTTTCACTTAAGCTTTATTCAGAATGGTATTTTTCAAAGATATTCATCCCAACATGAGCACACTATGAATGGTGGCAGGAATTATTTCCTTTTTGGCTCTGGCTTCTTTGCATACCTAAAATACAATCCACAGCCCACACTCACCATAAGATCCTCAGAGATGACGCTCTTTGGCTTGCCGGCTCGCCCGTTCTGCAAGTCGTTCTGCTCAGCCATGGGCGGCTGCTGTTTCTGACGCTCCTCTGTTACATGCTTATGGTGGTCGGGGAGAAGATCCTGGATGGCGTTGCATGTATTTGCAACCAGAAGAGCCAGCAGCAGCAGGCCGCCGACACATGTGTACCACATTTCTTTTTCGTTTTGTTCTTCTCGCTCTTTTATTAATTAGGACAAAATAAAACTTTTCACTTTACTTCACTAAGATTTACACTCTTTTTCAGAGCTCTTTTTCGGACTGGAATTAAATTCGGTGTTGGACTAGCGATTCGTAATTGTAAATTGAACTTCTTACACTTTTTTGTTTGTTAATTCTCGTTTGGACGCGGTCGCGAGGGTTGACACACGCGCAGTGGCACCAGCGCCAGTGGCAGAGCCAGCTGCGGAACAGCAACGGAAGCAGAAACTAAGCGCGGTAGCAGTGGGGGTCGGGGATATGCTTTGTTTTGTTTCGTGTTTCTTCTTCTTTCGGGTTTGTTGTGGCCAACTTCTTCGTCTACTTTCCAGCTGTTCTTTCCTTTTGTTCCTGGAGCTCGTCCCTTTGTCCAGCTCGTCTTCCCGTTATTCCTTCAGCTCTCTCTGTCTCTCGCTGCTGCTCTTTCCTTAACTCCCGCTCCTGTTTTACATATGACGCACACAATGTGTGTCTCTGGAAGGGGCAAAAGAGGAAGGAGAACCAGGGCTGGTGGTCGCACTATTGGGAGTGTTCCTGGTATGGGGAGGCGGGGGAGCCTTGTGTGTTCTGGTATAATGGATTGAATTTAAACTTTGAAAGACACACGAGACGACGCACTATTAAATACACATTAGCTTATGTTATTCCATTCCTGCTTTCTGTTGCAACAACAATAACACAATTAAATTGGCACGCTACGCATTTACAAAGGAGGAGGGAGCCTTTGTTGCTTGGAGCACCTTTACGATCCCGATGGATGCGGATTGCAGTACCGATCCGAAACCCACTCGCTCTCACACACGCACACGACACGCACACGCACACGTTGACGGATGGCTTTTGTTTGCCTCACAAAAGAAGAGAAGTAGGCGGCGGCACACTCACTGCCTGCAGCAAGAACATCGAAAACAACATACGCCTCTCTTCCGATGCGTCTTTATTCGTGTCACGGCGGTATGGCTTTATTATTCCTGCATATAATTCCTATGTGTATATCAAATTCGCGTTTATATTATTTATTATTTATTTCGCGTTACAGTGTACAGTGCGGCGGGTACACCGCTCCGCGCGAACCGTCGGGAAAGAGTGTGACTTGACTGGAAACGACTCCGCTGGCTTGCCTGCCTGGCTGCCCCACACTCTTTCTCAATTAATCGAGCGGAGAGACAGAAACGGAAAGAGAGAGAGCGAGAGAGCGCGTCGGAGATCAGAGACCAGACACAGAGAGCATGTTGTAATGCGCTGATTAACTAAGGATAATAAGAATCTTTTTGTGCTATTGTTGTAACTCTCTACCTCTCTCTCTCTCTCTTTGCCACCAAAGTGATTAAGAGGCAGCAGTTTGGAGAGAGATGAGATCGATGTGGGTGACACAAAGTGGTATTTATACCAGGTGTGTATTTCCCGCTCTCGCTCTGTGTGTCATCTGTGTCTCTGCCTGCACTGAAATCAAATTAGAGGCTATCTCGAGGAGCTCCACACCTTAATTTGATGCGCCTTGGGTGATACCGTGTGTAGTTGTTTGTGCATTGGAAACCTACTTGAAAGTTCGTAGTGGTGCGAGTCTTAACACGTTTATGCTAAGACCTGGCGCCACTCGTGGGTTGCACAATGAACGGAGCTCTGAGTTCGGAGCACAAAGCAGATGATGGCCAATTTTGATCACCCTGTCTGCTGCTGCGGGTTAATAATAATAATAATAATGATTGATTTGACAGTTCTTTGAATGCCCGAATGAGTTAATGCCCAAAATGAAGTGTGGAAGCGAAATCCAAAAGGGGATTCCAGTTGGCTGGAAAGGCGACTCTTCGATGTCTCTCTCGCACCACAAGGCGGAGGTAACCGTTATATTACTTTGCTTTGCCAAAATCGTATACACTGAGAAAAGCTCTCCTCCTCTGTCAGTCATTGGGTTTTATGAATGAACAGACAAGTTTGCTAATTGCCGACTCATCGTCGCATGCGTAGTTCGTACTACTCACTCATTTGGTTTTAAAATGCAAAGAAAATATCACAATCGATTTGGGGTAAACCCAATAAATCATTCATAAATATTCGATCAATATAACCTCCGTAAATGTCTGCATATCTGGATATGTATATTCTTCTAAATATTTTAAATTTGATGATCATGTTCAATGTCCATTTAAATTCAATTTATTGTCACTTCATCATAGCCAATCTACAAGAGATACACGTTGATCTACGAGTGCGTCAATGTATTGATGACTCGATCATAAATGTATGTAGTACCCCCATTTGTGTACAGTTCGTGTCATAAATTTCAAAATACATATCTATCTGCATACATACATATTTCTGAAAGCAGTTCCATGAAACCTTAACAAAAATTGTTGATCCGATATCTGAAATAATAAATCATAATAGCCATTTGTACAAGAAATTTCTTTGTATCACTGCTGTACTTAGCTACTATTATCAGCATCATAAGATCTGTTCAGCTGATTTATGACTCTGAAACGCACTGTCTCTAGACATAAGTATCCGAAACTGTTTGCCGGCATTTGGTGTACTTCTGTTGATCTGGAGGTCTTGGGTTCACGCGCTAATTGAACACAAAATTGAATGCAAAACGGATTTTACATACATATGTACATACATATGAGCTCCCTCTGCAGTTGACCCATAAAATGAGAACCAAAATATATAAATGACACATGATCGAGCCCTGGGAAATACTCGTATATGTATGTGTACCTACGTAATCATGCTCAATGCCACGCAATGCCATCAATATCTTATCAGATCAGTCACCTCCAAAAATGTTATTCAATGGACGGTGGGTGGTTACGCAATTTTCTTCGGAAATCGATAAACCGATGCATCAGAAGTTTTAGAACTGTTGTTCTTTGGTTGCCAGGGTCAGGATCGTACTGGCTATCGTACCATTTCCTGCCTTGGAAAGCGGAATGGAGATATGGGATATGGGATAGGCGCCGCAGCATAATAAGTGGAAGGTTAGTAACTTTTGGAGTCAATGACTCACTGGGGCAGTATCTTGTTTATTGCATTTCTCCACAAGTGCACACAAAAACAGATACAAAATATATACATGTACACCCCTATCTTTCAGTTGCAATATTTATATGGATGTACATATGTAAGAACAGGCCTCGCCAATCCCGTACAGGCCTCGATTCTTCAGTTCGTGACATATATCAATTATGGGAAAGTGTCGTATGGTATTGCCCCCGGAGCACATGCATCTTCTGTCTGCCTGCCTGACTGCCTGCGTGGGTGGTGGGCACGGACGTCTGACCGATATGGCGAAACGTTGTGTGTGCAAGTAGTTCCTGTGGATAGCAAATTGTGTTTATGACTCAATTGAAACGTATGCTCAGCCGATCCAATATGGAAGTGGTACATGTACAAACTCCCGCCGAATGGGGTTGTACACGGCGATTAACATACTACCATTTTCCAAAGTGCGCAAAATCGGACACGTTCCGGACACACCGGGTACAGAAACAACAGGCAGCAGGAAATCAAAACAATTGCTAATTCTGTTGTACAAAACGCAGAGACTTTCTCGCATGACGCACACGTTCCGTGCCCCCACTTTATGGCCGAAAATTCATCATGCTAACAATATTTACTACACTGTCTTATGCATACAGGGCAGAGAGGGCTTTGGACAGGAAATGCCAAACTAATTGACCTTCCCTAACCATTCAGGTTGATCCCTAAAGCACAGTGGGAGAGGCAGCAACGACTGAAAGTTTCATTTACGGACTTGAGACTCGTCCCACTGTGCACGATGAGGCGCCATTCCGAGTATTCGAGTATCCGAGTAATTAATTAAAATATGCATTTAATGCACTCTGTCACAACAATTGCAGTTGCATCTCAGATGCATCGTGCATTGCTCTCGCCTTGCCTTGCCCGTGTGTCCATGTCCATGTCAGAGTCAGAGAGGGAGAGAGGCTTTCCTTGGCTGATTCCGATTTCCATTCAACATGTTAATTAATCAAATTTGGCTCGTTATCGCACGGAAAGTGTCTCACGGCCGAGTGACAATTTATTGAATGTAATCCGTTCAGCGTAAGGGCAGGAGGAAAGCACATCATTAATTTAAAGCAAATTAATATTAACATTAATACTGAAATTCCACATCCGATTTGCATGAGAAATTGCCAGAACAATTTCAGTTTGGAAGCATATTTTGGATATTAGCCAAACAAAAGACTGCAAATCCCCCCCACCGATGCTTGGTCGAATTTTCAATGCTCTTCTTCTGTTCGATACAACAGAATGCCCTTCCTTCGATGAGCACTAAAGATAAACTTCCGCTTCGACACTTTCACAAATTCGTTTTGTGCAAAACGCACACATTTCGCGATCATTCTGAGACACCTGAGAGGCGGAGAGCAAAGCGGCTCTATGGCTGGGTGCTTTCCCGCGGCGGTTCCCCATTCCCCATGAGTCAACAGCCTTTGGTTTAGTGGCTGGTCTGTCTGCTCATCATCCAAAACGCTGACGCACATACAAAAATCAGAGAATTTTTAACCAAGTGTCTGCTGGTGGTAGTGGTTTGTCACAATACGCAGAAGCCACTGCTCATCCCAATACAACAAAGAATCACATTCTGCATATACATATAAATGTGGATCATGTAAATACTTATCTCTCTGGTGCACTACTCGTAAGAAATATGTAAATTATGAAATTTCCACAACAAAAAAAACGGTTTTAGCTAAAGAGAAATTCCCAAAGAAACGAAGGAGTCAGAGGCTTTTGTGGAAGTGTGTGTCTCATGAAGCTTTAGCAGCTCCAGCTATCGTTCTTTTCGCAACAATACATATACAGCTCATAGATAATGTAAAGGCTATTCTCTCTTAAGTTGGGTATTCGATAGGGGTAACACCAGCACTTATGTCTTTAAAAGTATAACCACTAATAAACTTATAGTTTGCGAGTCTTAAGCATAAGCGTACGCCTATTATGGTTTAATGTAACTTAATTTCACTCAAGATCATAATTATTTTCATTATCAAATTTAGTTACCAGCCAAAGGTTGAGCCGAAAACTTTGATTATGCTGTCCTGAACAGACTCATGCATATACATATCCAACAGCCAACTGGGAGGTCCTGGAGAGCCTTGGCAGTTCGGCCACGTCCCACGTTTCTGCGCACGCATTTTGCCTGTTTGTTTCATTAAGTGCATAATTTGAGCAACTTTCGCCCCAAAAGCCGCAGCAGCAGCAGCGTAGGGCGTAGAGATGGAGGCATAAGTTTGGCTATACTTCAGCTGCATTGCGTGTAATATTTAATTATAAGAAGCCATCCAGTGCCATCCATCCAAGCAGCAGCAGCATCGAGGAACAGTCGTCCTCTCCTGAAAGTGCAGCGCAACTTTACGGCACTTGCCAATTGCACTTTAGTGGCAGCCTTCTCCATAAACGTCTTCTGAGAGAGAGCGAGAGAAAGAGGGCATAAAATATTTAATTGTGTCACGTAACTTTCTGCAAAGTGATGGCTAGGGTGGTGGATATATAGTATGCATTACAATTCCAAACTTGTGGGTGGTACAGGGGTGATGGGCATGGGGAATGAGATTAAAAATGTCAAATGTTGCACAAAGTCTATTCCCCATCGAATCCGCATCGCTTCGGCTCCATTTACCAAACGAAATATACAGTTTTATTCATTTTACTTGTCTCCTAGTTTTAATACAATGATGTAATTAGTTGTTACGTTCATATACAAAAGAAATATATATTCATATGAGTGATAAAATGGTGAAATTTACTCCTTGCTAAATTTCTGTTGCCAAATTTTGCAAAATAACTTTCAATTCTTTCGATTCAGTTTTGGGTTTTTCCAAATATGTATGTATGTAAGTATATAACTATGCTGAGCAGAGAGTTTCCATCAGTTTTCCCAGTAAGTGTTTTGCTTTAAGTCGAGTCTTTGTATTTATCGTATGTTTTGCGAATTCTTTTGCCGTTTCCTTAGAGGATGCACACGCATTTAATATTTATTTATATATATATCTCTCTCTCTATAGATCTTCTCTTGTTATTCTTCTCCCTTTTCTCCTTTCCTTCGATTCGTTTGATGGATGTGCTTGTGTGTCTGTGATGGAACTCAATATAAAATGCACATAGGCTGCACGAATTGCTCGATTTTGTTTGTGTTTGTGTGTGTTGGGGACGCCAGGCCTCGGTAACGGGATATATTCTAAATAGTTTACGTTATAAATTAAAACAATATATGTATGTTGGGTTTGAGGACCGCCGGCACATCTTAGGGCAGGGTGTAGCGGACGTAGGGCACTTCCACATCCTCGCCATCGACATCGTTGCAGCAGATCTCAAAGACCAGCGAACGCTCGTGGGACTCAATGCGGCGCTTGGAGACACGGCGCACCACCTCGGACATGGGCAGCGGCAGGCGCTCCGAGCACTTGGTCTTGGGCATGAAGAAGGAATACAGCATGGAGACGCCCTGCGACAACATGGTGATCTTCAGTTTCTCCTTTTCCTCGAAGTAGTTTAGGAACTCCTGCAGCGTCAGCTCGCCAGTGACCTCGAAGCGATCCCACAGCGTCCATTCCTTTCCGTAATATGACAGCTTGCTGGCGGGCAAGGGCTCCGAGAAGGCCATGAAGGGTAGAGCCAAATTAACGAAGGCATTCTTGAAGCTAGTCAACTCCGAGTGTCCGCCAATCAGCTTGATCACCTCGAGCACAGCCAGGCCGGACAGCACTGATGTTGTGGTGGCAATGGCCGGTATTATCTTGCCGGCGATCAGCTTCGACTTATGACGATCGGCCGGTGGGATTTTGTAGTTTGTGGCACGCAGATTCGAGCAGGCCACAATGAAGTCCATGTGTAAGTTGTTGTCGTCGTCCTTCTCAAACTCCAGCGGTGTGATCTTCGATTGCTTCTCGGCCTTCTTCAGCAGCTCCGTTATGATCTTGTCCACACGATCCTGATCCACCTCATTGTCGTCATAGTGATTGGCCGAGGCGGCAGCGGCTGCCTCATTGGTCTCAATCTTGACACCAGATCGTGGCACAAACTCTGGCACCTAAACGGAAAATAATCAGCATCAGACACATATGTATTGGGGAGTGGATCCTGCTTCATTGCGTGACTCACCTTAACCTTCTTCACCAGCTCAGCAATGGCCTGGCGATCGCGCAACTGAGTCAAGCCATAGACCTCGGCACGCAGGTTGGCTGCCGCACAGATGAAATCCAAGTGCATTGGATCGTTTATGTCAAAGACGAGGGGATCGGGACAGCGCTTGGGCCCGGACCAGAAGGGCTGGCCACTGGAGGTGACCTGATCTGGTGGGAAGTTGAAGAGCAACTGTTTGATCTGATTCGCGTACTGGTCCTCCCAGTAGAGACGGGCCCACTCCACACAATCGGCAAAGCTATTGGGCTTATCATCGATCAGGGCTTTCTGCAAGTGCAAATAGATAAGGATTAGGTTGCGAATTAGTTACAAAGTAATTACGTGACCATTTCGCACTCACCTTGATGGAGTCTAGTATCTCCAGGGGCTGAATGCCGGGCAGCTTCAGGATGCGCTCGGTGAATTGTGGATCGGCAAGGTACTGGGCCGCATTCTCGGCCGACTGCTTGAAGACGCCCTCGAAGGCGTCGCGTGCCCACTGGAGCGTATGCTCGATGGCATTCGGGAAGTTCTTCAGCGTGCAGATGGGTATGCTCTTCTCGGGGGGATCCTGCGAGGAACTGTACGACTCTGTGGCAAATGGCACAATCACTTGGACGTTGCCCAAGGTGCCGAGGGTTCCAGTCTCGACCAGCGGTATGCGATTAAAGATGCACTTGCGGTCCATGTAAATTCGGGCATCCACATTGTCCAGGGCATTGGCCACGCCGTGCAGCTTGCCAAAGAAGCTCTCGGAGAACACCTTCTCAGTCTCAGCGCCAACGCGCAGCTCATATGCGGTGACATTCACATCGGAATTCATGCGCTTAATGGCAGCGGCGGCTGTGACCGCTTTGGGCTTCTGCACGTCATGCGGGCGGAACAGGAACTGGCGATTCAGATTCGATTTTTCTATGAGGTCCATGTCGGTGACGAATATCTGACCCTTGCCCACGCCCAGACCGAGCATGCCAAAGTTCTTCAGCAGCTCACAGCCAATGGCGCCGGCACCCACAATGAACCACTTGGCGTCGGCCAGCTTCTCCTGGAATTTGCGCCCAAAGATGGCAATCTGTGCATCATATCGGGAGCCTACGGGCTGGGCATCTTCCTCGGTGACACCCGCAACCGGCAGGCACTCCAATGCGTCATAGTAGAACCACTGATGGATGGGAGTGAACTTGCCGCTGCAGGCCTTGAGGACCTCCTGAGCCACAATACCGCCAATGGCAGCATCCATGGGGCATGTGTTGCCCGCGCATATCTTGGCGAACTGCAGCACCAGCTTCTCGTCCACATCGCTCTTGATTTCCTTGCAGAGCTGCAGGAAGCAGTTGGCATCCGCCTCGTTCCAGGGACGGGGCAGAGCGCCTTCATTGGTCTTCTGGTAGCTGGAGAGGGCCCTAAAGGCCACGTGCAGGTTGGCTGGTGCGTCCAGTTTGGCAAAGTCCGAGATCAAAAACTCTGGCTCCTTGGTGGCCTCCTCTAGAGACTTGAAGCTAATCGACTTGGACATCTTCACCTGCGTGGCCACGCCACCGCTCTTGTATTCGTCATAGCTGCTGGTGTCGCCGATGCTGAAGGTGTACGGTCCCAGGACAGTGATCTTGATGGGCTGGCAGCCGTTCAGCTGCTGCATGCCCTGGACCTCAGAGAAGGTCACATAGTCGCCGTCGTTGAAGCCGTGACGGGTCTCATCCAGGCAGGTCACCACTCCCTGGGCATCGTGTGTGATGCTGGCGATCATCGTCGACACGGGCTGGACACCATCCTGGTCGTATATGGTGAACGAGTCGCCAAAGTCACAGAACACCTTGGCGAACAGGCCGCGAGTGTCGGCTATTATCAGGGCAATGTCATTCTCGTGGGCAAACTTGCCAATCCTCTCCTGCTCGGCGGCGTCCGAATTGGTGAGCACCACGACGCGGAACTGACGCAGAAACTCCTCGGTGAGAGGTCCAGTGTGGGACAGGGTACGCACATAGCTATTCAGCTCCGCCAGTTGTGCGCACGATGCCTCGGCACGGTTCTTGCCAATGTCTGCCTCTGTGAGGTAGAACTGGGAGGACAAGTCATTCCGCTGGATAAAGGAAAAAGTCGCATTAGTTGGAGCATTTCATGGTGAAATTGGGAAAGAACAAAAGGCGGAGGAGCACGCGGCGGAGGAGGTGGTGGACACGGAAAGTGACTAAGTCTTCAATCAACTGCACACAAAAGCAGAAATTCAGTTCTCAAGTAAAACAAAAGCGAATGTGCGGCACAAAACGGAATGCAAAAACATTTGCAGCCAGTCGTGTATGACACCATAGAGTTGTCCCGCTCGCACACTTTTCGCATGGCGCAGACATTTTGACGCAAATAGACAAAAAAAAAAGAAAAGAAAAAATTACACAAATATATTTTTCGCTTGCTAATGTAAGTGAAAAGAAACGGAAGATCACTATAACCTAACCTAATTCCTAGTTCTGGGTCCGCTGGCTGCCGCTGGAACAGCGCTTTTCAATGAAAACTGCACAAAGAAAACATTCCGCGAATTAATTATGAATCATGCTGCGTTTTTCGTCTAGCGGTTGCAGTGGAGGGGTGGCCAAGGCTTTTCCCGCGCACTCTAAAGGCCAAATATCGATTTTGTTTGCCGCTCTCGCTGCCCCCCGCTCAGCATTTTCCATTGAGGCTTACCCCACAAGTTGCTGTGTCATGGAGGGTGATCGATTTCACACCGCCCAAGATCACATTCTTGGCCGTCTCCAGACCGAGGCCGCCAAGCCCGGAGAGGAGTATGTCGGAGTTGGCCATGCGACGCATTGCATCGTGTCCAAGCACATATAGCTGGCGCGAGTACAGAGACTCATCGATGTCTCCGCCGGCGACGGCATTGGAGTTGCTGGCAGCCATACTACCTCCTGATGTAGGCCGATTACTGTTACTGTTGCTGGGGGTGGTGTTGTTGCTGGAACTGACGTTGGAGTTGTTGGTGGAGCTGACTGTGCGGACGGCTGCTGCTGCTGAGGAGGCTACGATGTCGTTGTTTCCCACACAATTCTTACTCTCCTTCTTCGGGCTGCCACTACTTTCTTTCTGAACTGCTGACGATGTACTGACGTCGTCGGCTCTGCCGGTTTCGTTTCCACACTTTGCCATCGCATTCACAGCACATGTGTCAGAGGTAGACGACGATACACACAATTCCATCTGCTGCACTGTTGTTGTCTCGCTCTTGTTTGAAATGTCAACGGCGCCTGCTGCTTTGTCGTGATTTTCGTAGTTGTTGTTGCCGCTGCTCGATGCTCGGCCGGGGCCGGCATCATCGGCCGAAGCCTTTCCCTCAACTCTTCGCTTTTTGCACAATGGGGCATCCGAGCTACTGCTGGATGCCGAATCGGCCAACAATTGGTTACCAATCGATGACATGTCTCCTGGCCGGGTTTATCTTTAAGTCCAAAATGTTTGACCAATGCCAAAACCTCGTTGTTCCGGCAAAAACAGTCCCGTCTGATGCGGTTTTGTATCTTCCGCACTACTCGCACGCTCGCACAAACACACACGCAGCTCAGCTCGCAGCACAGAACAGGCCCAGGGACACACGGGCACAAGAAGTACGAGAATCGAGACGTCTGTTTTAGCAATTCCTAAGTACTTGCTACTCCTTCAATGGCACGCACTCTTCCTGGATATTCTTATTAAGTTTTACGTCCGTTTTAATTGCCAAAAATTCGCAATTCCGAGGTGCACAGTGTGGCTGCAGATTTATCGATCAAATATACCACACGACTCTCTAAAATAGATCAAAATATACCTTATCATTTTATAAATATACCGTACACCTAAATCCCTTGCCTCGATTTTGATATTCTGTTTAATATTACCAAATAGTAAGGACCATCAGCGCTAAAACTATGATTTTAGTCTGTATATTAATCAATTCTACACATGATTGAATAGGTTTCATCACTTTCTCTTATTGGATTGTTTCCAGTTCAAACTTAAAGGGTAAGTTAACAAAAATAATGCTCGTACAGCAGTAGGTATTTTGCTGAATTTACTGGTATTTTCAGCTTGGTCCTACATGGTTACTCTGCAGCTATCGATATGAGAATGCAACTATCGATTAACAGTGCTGGAAAACTCCTAAAATGTCTATTGTGAACTGTTAAATTGAAGGCGCGAACTTTTACGTTAACTGTCATCTATTTGAATGGCACATCCTGCACCTTTCAGAAGGGGATTAATTCTTGTATAAGGAAACTGAATTGATCGAGAGCTCTTGTTTCGATGTAATTTTTAGTTGTTGTTGAGTGTAAAAATAAAGACTAAAAATAATTTAGGGAGTAATAAAGTTTCCATAGTTTTTTTCAATATTTGAAATTGAATAAATAAAATCCAGTTCTACTTCCGCTTCATTTATCAACTGTTAATTGCTTTAATATTTCTAATTAATTTTGTAAGTGATTGAAAAATGTCCTTTCATCAATCTGTCTGGCACATTGGGCAATTATCCCTTGCCTGCTGTAGATCGTGGCACGCGCCTCTCAGCGCTGGACAGTTGCCGGGAGAGTCCTCCACTAAGTGACCCGCAGCGAGGTCCTGTTTTGTCCCTATTTTCGGTACGGGTTCAATATCCTTTGAGTGAGGCTAATCTATTTTCGGCTCGGGCTATGTCTCTTCAACGGTAGTCGAGCATGAAAATGCGTAAATTTCCACATAAAACACACACACACACACACACAGTGCTTGTGTGGGGGTGTCCTTTTCAAGTGTTGAGTGCGTGCCATTAGACGGGGCAACAGCTGCAGGATCCGAGGATCGAGCCATTCCGCATCCATGGAACAGTTGCGTAAAATGCATTTTAATTTACAGCTACAGCTGCGCGAAACACAGCAACCACCCCTCCCATCCCCGCGTGCCCCCTCTGCAACGAAATTCTGGTCTAATTTTAGTCAATGGAAAGTCGCGGGCTAAAGGGATCTGCGATAGGATCTCGCCGCGAACTTTATCGCGTGTGCGGTGTGTCCTTGTGTCGCGTGGACACACAACAAATTAGCATACTGATCCTGGTTGCGGGTGCTACCGAAAGCGGGGGTGTCCTTCGACCAGATGTCCTGCCTCGCGTGCACATCCCAAGCCATTAATTAAGCCTCACATCACATATGGCCATCACACCCCGTATATCGCATCCCTATGCAAATTTTCAAGCATTCATCAATTTTGGAATGTAATTTAAATATTTCTGGATGTCTGGCATACCCATTCGCTGGGGGTAAAATGGCTGTCAGCACCCGGCCATATGCGTCTAGCTTCTAGAAATGGAAAATATTTGTACTTTCAATGATTCCAATTCAATTAAAAACAATTAAGAGTAGAGGTAAAAGCAGAAGCTCTCTCAGAAGCAGACAAAGATCCAAGGATATATCCGTTAAGGATATAAATATTGGATTTTCCAGTTTCTTAGTTGCATTTAAAATAGAATTTACCATAGAGATGTTTTGATCTGTGCCTTTCAGCTCCCATTACTTCAGATATACTTGCACTTTGGGACAATCTTCCTGCCCTTTCTGGTTGCATTTTATCACTCAAAAACGTCGAAATACTTTATTCCAATTCATGAACTTTCTTGCTACTTCCAATTCCTGAAAACCAACCCAAAGTAAATACATTTACTGCTAACCACGAAGTGCAGTGGGCTAGCACCGTCTCGTATTGCGTTTATCTGGTAGAAAATACACAAACTCGTGCGAGTATCGCTAGATGCGATCAACAACATCCATTGGATTGCCTCTCAAATGACTTTGGCAGCAGCGCTGTTCCTTTTCTTATTTTTTGTTTCATTTAATTGTCTGGGAAAATGCATTTTATCGTCACCCAACAATCTATAAGGCAACAAAGGAGAAGACACTGCGTACACTTTAACAGTCGAAACAATTACAGAAGTGTCTCCCCCAACTCCATCTTTATATCCATCTCGGGGACTGTTTCTTTTGCTGCTGGCGGTAGTTCCCCTCAACCCTCAACCCTCACTAAACGGAAAATACGTTACAAATCCAACGCTTGGACGACTGGGACTGGCCCATAGCCTCCACCGAGCTGGTCAAGTGTTATAGTTGTTGTTGCCAGCGTCTTTCCCCTGTTGCTTGCTGGCCTAAATTCGAGCCGCCGCTTTATGCTCACTGAGTAACGTGTGAATCAAGGAGGGGACAGAGCGAGCACACCTTCAGATGCGAGAGGAAGTGTCTCCGGCCTGGGTGCAATTTTGATTTTGGCCCGCAGCGCTGCCGTTGTTACGAGGGCGGGAGACAGCCGGCCACAGGTGAGTGCGTTCTGAGGCCTGGATGAGGGATAGGTAACTGCTAATTGGTGGCAGCAGAGTCCATGGGGGGAGCCTAGTTTTGGAAGGAAGTTTGCCTTCGTCGTTGCCTTTGCCTTTGCCTTTGCATTCAAAAGGAATTCCTAGACGACTTTGCATGAGAAAGGAAGTCTAGAGTTTTGCATGAAGTTTCAAAAGGGAAAACTGAGACAAAAGTCCCACCGAATGTAATCAAAATATTTACGAATGCACTCGAGTGTGAGCGATGGACAGAGGAGAGGCATTACAACTGCCATTTCCACATGGAAAGCATCGCAGTCGTACCTCTGAAAGGTGTGAAAGGACAATGCGACGCTCCTAGAGAGTTGTCAGGGAAATGCAAATGCCGAAGCATGTACCTGAGAAAGGGTTGACACTGCGGGGCCAAGACAATGCAGGGCACGACAAAATATTTTCAACAATTTCGAGTGTCTTTTCCAGTACCCCGATCCAATGCCCTTGCACAGGCAGGGCAGCCAAGATCTAAGGATTTATGTATGTAAATGCGAGTCCAACCACTCAGAGGAGGGCTGAAAGTCGAAATTAAGTTGTAATCTTTGTAATTTTGTCACTCACTTCGAGCAGTGCCCTGCAGAAGGGGTTGACAGGGGACAGCTGCTCACTCCCCAGGGCCATCCCAATCTGCCTCATATCTCATGTCTAGGTCCTGCTCCCCGTACACTCCGCATAAAGCGACACATTTGTTTTGTAAATATTGCGTTTGTAATTAATGCGCGAATATCGAGAGAAGTTATTCCATTCCAATCCATTCCACTATTCGTACTCCCTTGCCGTCCTTGGTCTTTGGTGAAAATTTGCATATGATTCCGTCGGCGATCGCCCGAACAGGAAGAGGAGTCATTTTTCAGTCGGGATTCATTTTTCATTATGCCCCGAAAAAGGGGCCTTGCGTTTGATATTCAAATTGCATTCAACAAAGATTAATGAGTTCAACAATTTTGTTTGGGAAAAAGTTGATAATTTACAACAGCAAAAAATAGAAGAGACAGCAACATAATTTAATAATTTATTACTGGGAAAGCAAAAGGAATAGTTTTAATAATAAAAACGAAAATTACAAATAAAACATATAAATAAAAATATTAAATAATTAATTTTCCGTTTAGTTAAATCTTTAATAACTCTCGATCTTCAAATAATTTAATTTATTCACTTTCCAAATTTCTCACTCCCTCCACAGCTGCCCTGAGAGACCTTCGATCATTTGATCAAGCCATCAAGCAATAATCGAATTTTCGCATTTCCCACTTTGGGAAAGAGTCATTGAGCGATAAATCAACTGAAAACTTTTCACCACTGCATTTGGCACATGCAAAATGATTTTGCAGAAATTTGTAAACATTTTATTACAACGCCTAGGCCCAGGCCCACCCTTCAGCGTCCGCATCGAACCCTACTTAAGATGCATCGAACTGCAGCAGCCAAGAGACAATGGGAATTTGCAAAATACAGGAACCAAAAGACAACCCTTCTGTGGCATCAGCAACCCCGACAAGGATCGCTGGAGATCCCTGGCTGCGTGCTTTGCATATGCAATGGACATTTCTCTGTCTCTGTCTCTGTCTCTGTCTCTGGAGCTCTGTTCGGTTCGTGTTATTGCCCATACCTAATCCCGGCTAATGGGCTTTCAGTGGCCGGGATTTGAATAATGCTCAGTTAACGCTTTAATGTGCTTAGGCTCAGAGGTACCCGTCCCAAAAGGAGCAACTAAACGTGTGTTAAACACTTCCTGTCTGGGACGGACGGACCTCTGACTCCGACTGCGATGCTCACTTTGTGCCTCGTTCCCAGTTGCAGTTTGGGAATCTCTTTGATTTTGGTTGCTACTTTTTGGCAACATTTTTATTGAGCGCCGCGCGCAACGAATCCATCAATTTTATTGCCAACGCAGAATATTTTTATTTCAGATCAGTGCCAGGCATTGATGGCACTTCCTGAAACAAAGGAAATACCTCGAAAAAAAACAAAACCGAAAGCAAAAGCAAAAGGAAAACCAAGAAGGAATCGTTACAACTGTCGTAAAGTTTTTGCTGCTGCTGCTGCTGCTGCTGGCAACGGCGACTTTAAGCTGCTTACAGAGAGAGGGGATGGAGAGGGGGAAGGCAGGAAAAAGTCTTTATAAAATGTATTATGTGATGGCCATACAAAGCATTTTGTGGTTTATCCTTTCAGCAATAAAAGTATCCGATTACGGAATGCACTCCGCAGCAACTTCGCAGAACACAGTGGGAACCTTCGTCCTGTATCCTGTGTCCTGTCAGCGCATAGATCAAATGCATAACAGCAGGAACAGGAGAGCAGGCACAGCTGTGCCAAGTCTCGGGGTTCACTCCTTTTAATTAAAGTTTTAAGCCTT